CCTCAGGGACTTCTGCTCTACAGCCGTGCTCACAGTAGGCGTCGATCAGACCTACTCATACATTGCTTGCGGCGCTAAGTCTGGGACCGATCACTATTTCATCAGCCCGACTCCAACGAAAGATGCAACTTCGAGCACCGAGTCCTCTGTGACTACAACTGAAAACTTTATATCCACGCCATCCCAGACGACCGCGATTACAGATTCCGTCGGAAGACCTCTGACAGAGGCACAGAATTCCCACAATACAGAACCTGCAACGTCAAGACGTAACACAGAAGCCTCCTCAGCGCCAGTTGAGGACGCTTCCTCGTCGAGTGACTCCAAGACACAACTAGGTCCGATCATTGGTGGTGTTCTAGGTGGTCTGGCTTTGATATGCGGCACCACTATCGCAGTTGTGTATTTACTACGGAGGAAACGCAAGCAAAATTCGATCACTGAGCAAGGCGAGCCCCCCACCCAAGGCAGTTCGAGCTATCGGGCTCCAGAGTACGCGAAATCATATGCTGAGGGTGGCTGGGGTCCACAGGAGCTACAATCAGGACGTGATGGTTGTGTCAGGAGTATTGCGGAGCTGGCAAGTTGAAAACTTATAAAATGAATGACACAGTGCCTGCACCTAGATTTTGCCCACGTAAATGTATATAACCCGAGCCTCGGGTTAAGGAGACCAAAGATGGAGCCAACACAGTACCAGTCTGGGGCAGCCCTCGTGTGCTCCTGTCGAATCTGAGAGGCTTACTATTCCCTTCTTTGAACAAGTAGCTCAAGGATACATGCATTCTGCGACGTTTCGAGAAGCTGCTTTTGAATTGCGCCCAACCCATGGCTGCCGACCCAGGGTTCCGCAGTCTCTCATTTCCTGGAAAGATCTGACGACTACTAGTCTCCCATGGATCTTCAAACATTTGATCTGAATTTGAAAGGCCACGATTCGATTCTCATGGGGCCCGAGCCATCTCTCAAGCACGCGCACACACTGCCACTGGACAAGCGTTGCAAATGCTTTGAAGCGGGGGCCATGTTGGGTAACGATTCTTTTAATAAGAAGCGGGAAACGTCCTGCCCAACGGGAACCCTTGAAGGAGTCCCTCGAAGCGAGCGACTGGTACAGCTTCAATGTTGACAGGATCTGTCGAGATACAAGCCTCCTCAAAAATGTCCATGCGGAGGGTAGGAGCAGCCATCAGATGCTTGGTTCAGAAGTCAAGCAGTTGAACTCTCGGAAGAGCACCATATGAATGCATCGATAAATTAATTGCCAAATGCCATTCACATGGAAGCGTGGCAGGCACAAGCTATAGTGGCTGCAGATTTACGGCGATTGAATATAATTTCCATCGTGGATAATGGTGTCTGGGGAACACTGTGCCCAATTGTGCTATCCTGTTTGAAATGGGTATTGCTGGCGTCAATGATTCGATCATTCTGTGCCGAGAGAGATCTGGGCAGAGGGGGGGCCATGAACGTCAAGAAATGCGTCACCACAAAGGCGATGGTTAGACTTGGGTGATGGAGCATGTGATGAATTGCTGGATAGTATTGAGCCAACGGGAAGCAGACCCAAGTAGCTTTGGCTAGGTAGGAATGACAGCAGCTTTCATCTTCGCGTACTATGGACGAAGTTGACGTTGCGCCTCTCCGAAGAAGCTTAATCCGTATTAGTTGGTACGTTTGACTGTAGGATGAAGGGGCATTTTCCAGGTGCTGCCACTAGAAGGTGCCAAAGGCGAGGCAAGTGCTGAGCGTTCCGAGATTCCGCACTCGGCCGAGCCTAGAGCTGGACTGACCGCTTCGGCAGAGCCACCGGCAGAATTCAACACAACTGCTCGTCTGCGCCAAATTAAGGTATCTAGGTGGTCTGGGCATCACTACGCTGGGCGCATCTTACGATCGCAACTTTTGCGGCTTCACTTCGTTCGCTTCTTTTCTGCCCTGCCAATCCGCTCCCGCACTCGCTCTCCAACAAGGCCATATCAAGCATACACGTGCCCTCACCTGCACCATGGCCGACGCACTGGGCTCGAAGAAGTTTGTCGACGGGGTTTACATCCCCGTCGTCCTGATGATCGTGGGCACCCTCATCGTCAAGCGCGAATGGACCCCCTATACCGTTCTCGTGGCGCTTGCTCTGGGCAGCTGGAAGTTCTTCAGCCTGAGTACGTTGGAAAATTCATATCTGGCATCAATTCTCGAGACCGCTGCTAACGCCTTGTGCAGAGATCAAGAAGGTTCTCAAGCCCGACGTCTACCAAGAGTTTGAGCTCAAGGAGAAGACCATCATTTCCCACAATGTCGCCATGTACGTCCTCGCGGCCCCTCTGACTGCCATGATCTCGTGCTGACCTACCAGCTACCGCTTCTCGCTCCCCTCGCCCACCTCGATCCTCGGCCTCCCCATCGGCCAGCACATCTCGATCGGCGAGGTCCTCGCGCAGCCCGACGGCACCCACAAGGAGATTGTTCGCTCCTACACTCCCATCTCGGGCGACCACCAGCCCGGCTACTTCGACCTTCTCATCAAGTCGTACCCCACGGGCAACATCTCCAAGCACATGGCCTCCCTCAAAGTCGGCCAGCCCATCCGCGTCAAGGGCCCCAAGGGCGCCTTTGTCTACACCCCCAACATGGTGCGCCACTTCGGCATGATTGCCGGCGGCACGGGCATCACGCCCATGCTCCAGGTCGTCCGCGCCATCATCCGCGGCCGCGCTGCCGGTGACACGACCCAGGTCGACCTCATCTTCGCCAACGTCACCCAGCAGGACATTCTTCTCAAGGAGGACCTCGACGCCCTTGCCAAGGAGGACAGCGGCTTCCGCGTCCACTACGTGCTCGACAAGGCCCCCGAGGGCTGGACCGGCGGTGTTGGCTACGTTACGGCCGACATGATCACCGTGAGTTGCGCTCGTGCCCCCCGCCGCTGCGCGCTGTTTACGCTAACATTCTACAGAAATGGCTGCCCGAGGCGGCTCCCGACGTCAAGCTTCTGCTGTGTGGTCCTCCCCCGATGATCAGCGGCCTCAAGAAGACGGCCGTCACACTCGGCTTCGAAAAGGCCCGCCCCGTCAGCAAGCTGGCCGACCAGGTCTTCGCCTTCTAAATGTAGCGACAAGCGTCAAACGAAATACCATTCATTAACTACATATACGTTGGGAGGCCACATATAGACCGCATAGGTTTCAGAAGAAGAAAAAAAAACACGCCATAATGTAACCGAGTCTCTTGTTCGACTATTGCTTTCGTGACCTTGTATCCTCGGGATGTGCCCCTCGGCATTTCTGCCCCTCCTCCACCGGCAATCCGTGCCCAAGCTCCTCAGTAGAGGCGGCGGTGTAACGTGTGGGAACTCTTTCTCTGGGGCCCAGTCAACGCACCCGTGCGCCCAGACCGCACTCCAATGGGGCTTATGTAATACATCAACTCTCCTCAAGTGACGTACCCATGCAGCGCGTCGAAGCGTAGCTCCTGCTAGAAAGATTTCGCGATTCGACATCTGAACATCACCAACATCATCATCCCCCCTAAACCCCCATCTAGACCGCCCAAAATGCCAGACCACAAACCCCCCTCCGCGCCCCGAATAGCCATCTCGTTTGGCAAGAACTCGTCGTCCTCATCCTCGTCCAAACCCAGCCGACCACCGCCACCACCGCCGCCCTCTCGTCTAGGCAAACGGTCTCGCGCCCCGGCTCTAGGCAACGACTCAGACTCGGACTCGGACGACGGGCGCGCCCACCGCCACGAAGCGATCTACGAGCTGGGCGGCGACTCGGACGCCGATAGGTCGTTCCGCAAGAAGCCCCGCGACCTGGTCATCACGAAACAGTCGAACCGCGACTGGAAGGCCGAGCTCCGCGCCAAGCGGGGGGGCAAGAACCTCCTGCCCGCCGAGGCGCAGGCCGCGCAGGCTGGAGCTGGCAAGGATACGGAGCCGGCGGACGCGCAGAAGGACATCAAGTGGGGTCTCACGGTGACGAAGCCGCGACAGCAGCAGGCCGAGGACGAGGAGGAGGGTGCGAGGACCGGCGATGCCGGGCGCGGCGATAGCAGGGAACGTCGACGGTCTGCGTCGCCGGCGGCCGAGGCCGTGAAACCGCAGACGGCGGACGAGGCGGCCCTCGACGCGCTGCTGGGGAAGAAGCGCGCGTCCGAGGAGAGGACGATTCGGCCGTCAGAGGACAGCGCCTACAAGGATGACGTGGCGCAGCATGTTGGGGCCGACGCGACGATGGAGGACTACGACGCCATACCGGATGGGGAGTTCGGGGCGGCGCTGCTGAGGGGCATGGGGTGGGATGGGAAGATGCGGGGGCCCAAGCCGTCGAAGGCGGCCGCGGGGGAGAGGCGGCAGAACCAACTCGGACTAGGAGCGAAGAAGCTGCAGGACGCCGAGGACCTGGGGCAGTGGAACCACGGCGGTGCGAAGAAGCGCGATGGCCGGCCTCCTAAGCTGGCCGATTACCGGAGAGAGGAGGAGAGGAAGACGGCCGAGAGGAGGGACAGGAGAGAAGGCGGTTATCGGGAGAGAGACCGCTACGAGGACGCGGCGAGAGACCGCGAGCGGGACCGCGATCAAGGGCGTGATAGGGACTTTGATCGCGACCGAGGTAGTCATCGCGAGAGAGACAGGGAGCGGGATTCAGGGAGGCACCGTAGTGGTGAATCGAGGAGGTACTAGCCCTCATCAGGGCGGTATGGACGCACTTGCTGTGCGCAAGAAGATGGACATTGACATTGCAACGATGCTGAGCAATGCCAATGTTGCTTCTTCTCGTTCACCACATAACCTCCGGTACTGCAGAGCCAGCGCATTACCTATGTCGTAAATGGCCTCGGCAATGATGCAAGCAGGCTTTACCATGAATGCACTTGCACCAAAGAGCCGACGTCAGTCCGCTGACTATATCTTAGCCAAGGTCCAAAACATCACCGGCCGGACTCTAGTCTCATGGAAAAATCAGGAACCATGGCTCAGATGCCACTAGGACCACCAAACATCGATACACTCGAATCAGCCCTACGATCTGTCTGGGACCAACGAAGAAACTTCGGCGTCTCCACAGACGGACTTTCCCCGGACGCCAGCCAAAGTAACAACATCGAATGGCCAGGTTGAACACCGCTTGTCCTTTCTTATCTTTCATCATTAAATGATGTAGTACCTAGGTAATTGAGATCCCGTCACAGCTAAGGGAAGCAGGCTCGCACCAAGCAAATTTTGAGCCACAATCGTAATCCTAACATAACATGCTATCACGGCCTCTCCACCGATTGTGAAGTAAACGAAAACTCAAAACGCCACGAGCCACTCATGGCCAACTGCTAAGCACGATCAGCATCTGGCCGGCACGGGGCTTCGTCGGCCAAGAAAACACTGGAGGCATCCCTCTGCAGATGCGCTGTCGGATCGCATAAGGGGATGCGGATGATGGCCTGCCTTCCTTCTCATCTCACTGCCGGAGTGGCATCATGATATTTTGGAGTCTCATGAGCTGAGGATGGTGCTAGGGTCCAGGGAGACAGACACTTGACGATAATGTCCATCTCCGCTATGTAGGTGCAAGGCAAAGACAATACCTGCTTGAAACGTGCTGGCATCCATATATGCCACACATGTCTACCTGCCAACTCATCTTGGTCAACGTTCTATTGATGCTTAGAGAGGGAACAGGAGAAGTAGTGGGCATTGCCACGCCGGAATCTTTGACGTGTTGACTGATTGGAGCTTTGGCGATGCCCCGACCTGCCAGACACGGCTGCTCCCCAGCAACATGCAAGATACAGACACCTTGGATATACCAGCCAACTGCCTAAGGTACCCTAACCTCACGGGCTAGGTACTAGGGGTACAGAAGGCGGGCTCTCTTGCCACCCTTCGCATCGTGAACCTACACCTACCCGCAAACCTACTAACGGCGCCTCATGTGGCAAGACCTTTGTGTCCTTCCCCATACCAAATTCTCATTTAAAAACACGCGGCAGTGCTCTGTCAGCTTCATCGACAGCCATGGCAAACATGACTGTCTGATATTTAGACACATCAACACATTGCATCGGATACGATACCTGACTCCATCACGACGCAGCCTTATAAACACTATGGATGAAGACGCTCCCGAATACATCCGGCGAGAGCCCGAGGCCCTCAATGCCTTCATCCAAGAGAAAACGTCACCGTATGGAAGAGTCATCCGTTCATGGAAAATGGCCATCTTCTGGTCGGTTCTCTTTTCCGTCACCATCATCGGTGAGGGTTATGATCTGGCTCTCATGGGCAACTTCTTCTCCTTGAGGCAGTTCCAAGATCTCTTCGGCAGATCTCACGGCCCAGGTCTTCCTCGTGAGATCCCTGCTCTCTGGCAGAGTGGAATGCTGTGCGCCGCTCTCGCAGGCCAGCTTATCGGCATTTACTTTACCGGACACTCTGTCGACCGCTACGGCCACCGTAAGACCGTCATCTTCGCCCTTGGCCAGGTCATGGTACTTCTTCTCATCGGCTTCTTCTCTCCAAGCGCTATTTCCATCGGCGGCTCGGACGCAGGCCTTGGTATGCTGTTCGTCGGCGAGCTCTTCATGGGCGTCCCTGGGGCGTGTTCCAGGCCACAACCTTGGCATATTCCTCTGAGATAGCGCCAGCCAAACTGCGACCTACCCTCACCACCTTTATTAACATGTGCTGGATCTTTGGCCAACTCTTCTCCACAGCTGCCAACAAGGCTGTCACACGTCTGGACAACAATCTCCTCGCGTTCCGAATCCCCCTTATGGTGCAATGGCTATGGCCAGTCCCCGTCGCCATCGGTGCCTTCATCGCTCCCGAGTCCCCCTGGTGGCTCATTCGTCAGGGCCGCTCCGAGGACGCCAGAAAGTCTCTCAGACGGCTCAACAAGCAGGCCCGATTTCCCTCTGGAAGGCCACATCCGCGCCATGGAGCTCACAAACGAGCACGAAAGGGACTCCTTGCACAGCCCGGCAACGGCAAGCCGCACCTCCAGCATCGCATCCAAGTCCAAGAACGAACCGACCGTCCGCTGCGTGCCCGCCGTTTCGGCAGAGGCAGCCGCGGCTCGGGGGTCGCCCGATGCCGTGCCCAGCTACGCCGACTGCTTCCACGGCACCAACAGGCGGCGCACAGAGATTGTCGTCATGCTCAACCTGACGCAGCAGCTGTGCGGGTCGTGCCTCATGTTCTACTCGGCCAAGCTCTACCAGAAGGGCGGCATCGCCGTCGAGCAGGCCTACGACTACACGCTCGTCCAGTACGGCCTCGGCCTCGTCGCCATCGCCTGCAGCTGGGCCCTCATGCAGCGCGTCT